TTGAAGTCATTCCCATGAAGTAAAATTAATGCATTGCCTGTTCTGCTCTGAATATTATCGTGGAAGTTTAAAAAGTCATTCTTGGGAAATTTTTATTGCCCCAGTAAGTTTATGTGAGGAGATGAATGATCATCTAGGATGTCATTATGTCTTTCTAAAGGCCTCGGTAATTGCTGTCTTTCAGCCGGCATTGTCACTGCGGTTGCTTGGCTAAGCTTAGCGCGCGCGCGCACACACACACACACACACACACACGCACGCACGCACGCACGCGCGCGCTCTAACGCGGCGGCAGGTACAGTGGACGCCTCAGTGACCCAGCGGGACACACTGTCATCCCGGCTTCCCGCAGGAGCCGGGTCCGTGAGAAGTGAGAGCGTTTCTGTCCCTGTAAGTGGGCTCCTTACCGATGCTGGTGCCGGGGGCCCCGCGTCCCATGGAGTCACCAGACGGTGCATCCTTAGCCTCAGGGACAAGGCCGGGAAGCAGGCAGCAGGCCCTGGCGCGAGGCCTCAGCGGCTTCATCAGGAGCCATGGCCTTCGGTTGAGGGACGGAGGCAGCCAGGGTGCCCTGGGGGCTAGAACTGAGGGACCTTCACCTCACCCTCCTGCCCATGTCTCTGCCGTGGTCAGACCCCAGGAACTAGAGGGCAAGGGAGCATGTGGACAGAGTCACAGGGAGACTCCGGGGTAGGATGCAAGGGAGAGGCGGTGCCATGTGGCCTGCAGCCTCCGTGTGTGTGCAGCCTCCGTGTGTGTGTGTGTGTGTGTGTGTGCGCGCAGCCTTGAGGTTACTGTGAGGACAGAGTGAGCCCCAGGCAGGTCTCTGCTGAAAGGCACTCACTCCACTCTTTCCTTTCTTCTCTCTTGACCATCCTGACTGTTATCACTGACAGAGACCCGCCCTCCAGACCCCTCCAGCCGGCGCACGGAGGGCACCCACCTGCCAGGGCTGATCCTAGTGCCTGTTGTTCCTCCTTCCAGAAGCTTCCCTGGCTCCCTGGTGCTGCCGCTTCCGGTCACTGTGGAATGCCCTAGGCACGGTTCTCTGTGGGTCTTTCTTACCCGTGTGGTCTTCTTCGTGACTCTGTACCTCCTGAGGTCGGGTTGGGGTTTTTGTGCCTAACACAGTGCTTGGCAGATAGAGGAACGAGTGAAACGCCCCATTATAACTGCTTGCTGAGCATTCCCCCTCAGAAAGTCTGTGAACGCCTTAAACTCAGCGTGTACAAAGGGGAGCCCATTACTGCTAAGTCCCCTGATCACTGTCCCTGCTCCCCAATCTGTGCAGTGATTCCACACATCAGAGACCTGGAGCCTGAGCTGCAGCTTCCATGTCTGTGTCCTTGCTCACGGTGCTCATCGCTCCCAAGTTCATCTTTTCTGTTTTTTACCGTCAGCACCTTTGTTTCCATGGACAGGTCACTCTCTCCCCGCAGGGCACACCAACTAATACCAGTTATTCTCCGCACTCTGATCTCCTCACTGCTCCCAATCCGTTATGTACAAGGCCGGGCTTGTTACACATTAGCATTATCACACCCGAGATACCTGTTTAATCTACAGAAACCAAACCAACGGTGAGCAGAAAAGGAGAAAAATCACCCATAACGTCCCCACTCACAGTTATTCTTTTGGTGTGTAGCCTGCATTTCTGTGCAGATACAATTTTAAGATCATGCTGTTCATATCACACTAGAGGCCCGATGCACGAAACTCATGCCAGGGGCTCAGCCCTCGCAGCCCCCAGCTTCCTCCGGAAGGTTGTCCGGAAGGTTGTTCAACTGTCTGGTCTGATTAGCATATTACGCTTTTATTATCATAGGTTACTTTTCCAAAAGCAGACTTTCGATGATTCCTTGCTCAGTCAGGCTGCCAATTATTTTACAAACGTGGCCTTCTGCAACGTAGAGCCCGTTGACTCACTTCACTTACCCTACAGACGACCGATGGAGTAGAATGATTATCCAGCAGCTTGGAGTTCTTCTTCCCACGACTGTCTCCACTCTCAGTCCGTCCAGGTGACTGGCCTGCTCACCAGCCCGGCCTGCAGCCAGTCTTCCAAGTCTTGACCACATGGTGGTCCCCCTGGGCCTCTCCAGACGCCCCCCTCAGACGAGATCTCGGTCTTCACCCCCAGTTTTGCACGCCCTGTCTTTGCACCTCCCCGGCTCCTTGTCCCAAAGTCATTTGCATGACTATTATCTCCCCTAGTAAAATGCAAATTATGTTCCTACTTGGGACCCTCCCGTTGTCTTGTGCAGAAAAGCTGAATGCTAGTGAGTGGGTGCAATGAGCAAAGACCCATGTTGTACCTTAATGGAGAGGGTGGACACATCGGGTTTCTCGCGGGGACTTGGCGAGAGCGGGCCATCCGTCCATCCACAGTGAGTGTCCTCTGTTGCTGGTGGAAAACAGTGCTATCGCTTCTGGGTTCCAGATTTAGGGAGACAGATGAGTTACCTGTGCCACCTGAGGCTTGTGACAGAGCTGCGACACCGGGTCTACAATAAAGGTTGTCGGAACATTCAAAAGTCTCTGTCGGCGAGCTTTCCTCTCATTCCCCAGGGAGTTCCCGACAGCTACGTTCCATCTGTTGCCTTATTTTCTCTCTCCTGGCTTTTGAAGCAAATTGGTTGATTTTCCAATTAAAATGTTCGTAATCGTTTTATGCTCCTGGGAACATGCGCCATTTCTGTTTCCTTTTAGATGCTTTCATTTTTCCTTCTTCATAAAACCCCAGACATTGTCTCACTTCCCTGTTGAGATCTTGCTCTGTTTCTTTTTAAAACGGTGTTGCTTTCTGGACTTGAACTTCCCAGGAACAACCCAGTGTTTGTCTGAAGTGCTAAGGAGTAGCCACCCAGGGCTGTGTCTGCCTTGAGGCCGGTGCCCTGGTGCCACCATCACCGCGTGTCTGGCTCTGCCAGTCCACCAGGGCGGGGGTCGTTGTTTGCCCTTTAGTGTTAGGTCTGCTTCAGAGTTTAAGGCACTGATTGCTTTGGGCCAGTTTCACTCTCGAGCTGTTGGGCTTCCTTCATGCTTCATTGACAGTGGGAAAGTGGGCATTTTTCTTAATACTTTCCATCTCAACCTCGCTCTTGCTCTCCGCTCTCCCTCCCCCTGTGCTCTGTGGGGGTGGAAAGTGCAGCACAGGGAATACAGTCAATCTATCGGAATCACTGTGTATGGGGCCAGGCAGGTACTGGAAATATCGGGGAGGGGGGCACTTTGTAAATACATGACTGTCTACGCTGCACACCTGAAACCAATAGAAAATAATATTGAATGTCAACTGAAAAATAAAATTAAAAATACAGACAAAACGAGCAATATCACCTCTTGCAGACTGGAGGGTTTATAGCAGATAAAATCTCCTGAATTCATCCCCGAGGCGGCCACGGCAGCCTGTGTCAGGTGTCAGTGCTTGTCAGTAGAGGTGTAGGGTTAGACAAGCCACAGCAGTGGATGGTGGGAAAAGGGAACAGGTTTATATGACAGACAAATCTTAACCAAAGGCCAGCTTTCGTGTAGAGCAGTGGTTCTCAACCTTCCTAATGCCGCGACCCTTTAATACAGTTCCTCATGTTGTGGTGACCCCCACCCATAAAATTAT